AAGAACACAACGCAAGGAATTGTGGTACAACTCATTAATTATACATGACATCATCTCCTCAGCCAATCAGAAATCACATCTAGTATTATATGACGTGTACAAAGTGAACAAATTAAGTTTATCCTAACACAGGCGGTGAAAATGCCCGGATGTCCACACAGTCTGATACGCGTTACGCGTAAAGCGCAAAGGCCTGTGGGAAGAAGATTGGGAACAAATGTGTTTCCACCATATTGGATTCTGCAGAGGACTATGGGATAGAAAATTGAACTATAGAGGGCGTTGGTGGAACCACAGTGGAACTCATCTTTTCAACACCGCCTTGCTGTGCTAACACCAATTGTAAGCCTCTCATGTTTTCAAGCAACGCATTAGTTTTTTAAGTGTATGGTATGGTTATATTGTGGACTTTCAATTAATTTCATTGGGATGATTGTTTGGAAAACTATTTGTTTTTGCTGTAAACCATTTTGTTTTGCTGTAAGGATTTGTATACCCCACCCCCCATTTACGGATCAGAAGTTATACGTCAAGCAATCGCCCTAAATATGTTTGTTTATTTGTTTTTATTAATTTTCCAGCGTTTAACAATTATGCGGGTTTCGAGGTTTTCATGTTTTCGAAGTTTTTGGCAAATCCACTCTACCCATGTTCATGGACACTAGAAATGCACGGCCGTTCTAAAACTGCCAAATTGGCTACTCCACATAACTGACTGGTGTTTAGCAGTGACTCTACTTTTAAGGTCTATACTCTACATTTACTAATATTCCAATTTCATACTGGGCGAGATTTTTCATTCTACGATACAGTGGCCGATATCAAGAATTATGCAACTCCTGGTTACATAAACGATATACCACGGTTTTTCGAGTTTAAAGGTAGACCAAATTAATCGGTAACAAAACATAACTCACAATCCCTCTGTTGGAGGAGATTAATTTGTGTTGACAAACAGCTGTTATGAGTTCAATGCTTGTTCAAACATGATAAAAGTAGACAATAAAGAGGCTGCGTAATTGAGCTTTATTGTTGAACTAGGTAACAGAGGATCGTATATAGTGTGTTACTGTAAAAGGATTAATTATTCACTGGATTTTAATTTTGCTTATATTTCTGACTGGGAAATGCGCTAAATTAAAACCCAGTGAATATGTAAAATTGAACACATTATTTAAATGATAAAACCATGAATTTAAAACCCACTGAATATGCCTGAAATGCTAAATCAGTGAAATTTAAACCCAGTGAAAATTAGTCATTCTACAGTATTTCAAGCCGTATGTGCTAAACTTGTGTTTTGTTGGTGTTTAATTTGTCTTCACAATTATAATTTTTGGGGGGAGGGTATTATTTTTTTTTAACTGCTATTTTCATTTTAATTTTATATCGCCGTTCATTTATACATTTATATTTCCATTTACTTATTTTTATTTTACTCATTTGTGTTTTTTTTAATTTTAATTGTCATATCATTTTCATAATTTTAACGTCGTTCATTTTTATTAACAAAGTTTCTATTATATTTTCATTTATCTTTCCATTTTTGTGTGTGTGTTACAGTATATCATATTGGTTTTGTTGTTAATCCCCTGTGTTGGATAGAAACAGCTGTTCGTCAGTTGTCCGCTCTAATTAGCATATTAAGCATCCGATAAATATAATTCTGAAAATAATTAAAAATATATATCTGAACGGATTGATTCTGTCCATTTCCCACCATATATACTCCGTACACTCTACCCTTGAGAACTTGAATGAAGTCAGCACAAACATTGTTATAAACAAGTTCACGTGGTCTGACGATAGAGTCAATGATATGATTTCTAATATTAATGACATTGTTGAAGATTTTACACAAATTTTAAATCTCATTAACTCCCGTGTATGCGAAGCACATAAAGAAGGTGCATGAGTTTGGGGTGTCCGCGTAATTTAGTATATGGTATTTTGAGGGTAATACGCAGACATCATTAACATAGGGGCCATTGCATGCATATTAAGTAGCTAATTTGCATATTATTTATCTCATTCTAGCCTGTATTTGCAAAATCTCAAAAAGTTTAAAGCGGTTTTTAGTTAAATTTGGTACCAAGGTACATTGAGATAATGAACATACACGATTATATTAAGTAGTTAATTTGCATATTATTTTTTCACTTCAGCCTGTTTAAGCAAAATATCAAAAAACTTCTGCATGGATTTTTATCACATTTAGTACATAGATATGGTTAGTTTTGGAGTCATGTCTGTGCATATTAAGTAACCAATTTGCATATTATCTCAGTCCAATTTGGTACCCATTGTATAATGCGCTGATATGATTAGTTTTGGGGCCATGTCCGTGCATATTGCATATCATCTCATTTTAGGCTTTGTAAGCAAAATCTCTGAAACTCTCCCGCAGATTTTTATTACAGCAAGCAGTGTTCTCCACAAATAAAATTTAAAGAGGGGCGCTAATAAATTAAAGAGGGGCGCTCTTAAACCCCTCGTGGAGAACACTGCAGCAAATCTCAGAAGTATTGGGGCAGCCAATTTGCAAACTCGCTAGCGAATTGACTAACTGCTTTGGTTTTGACTGGACGGTTGGCTTTCGAATCTCGCTGGCGCCGTCCTGTGGTCATGCCCACTTTGGGTGAATACGATTAGTTGAATGGCGATTTCACTTTCAAATATTCCGGGGAAAGTGTTCTATTTTCTTCGTGTAATGAGGTGTTCGTATACAAGGGATTGTCCATGCAAAAACGATGAATCAAATTTTATTAGCGGTTGGTTTAATGTTACCCCAACGAATCGTTTGGATGTGAACATTTATTTTCTCCTTGATTTATAGGCAACTGTTTCTCAACTTCTCCCTTTATCAGTGTTACCCTCATATAATAAATATCAGTGGATTAATCGCATTTATCATATTATCAATTGTACGCCAGAAGACTGTGGCCATTCTCAGGCTGATCATTCAGGGGAATCCAGACATGTACCAGGCTACGTAAAAGCATACTATGTTCCCTAATGCAATATAGACTCGCCCCAGAGTGAACGCGACCACGAGTCGGCGCTGCCAGATTTGAAAGCCAACTGTTTAGCAGTTAGTCAATTCGCTAGCGAGTTTGCAAATTGGCTGCCCCAATACTTCTGAGACTTGCTGTAAATTTGTTTGGAAGTTTCATTTCATAGATATCTTTATAAAATCACAATAATGATTGCATATTTAGTATTTAAACGGGAGCTTTGCGGAGTTTTACTTTAATTTTAATATTCTCTTATCCAAATGAGCTCCTGAAATTTCACGAAATTTCATCGAAATCCAAGCTGTACAAACAAAATGGAAAAAGCGCATAATTTGAATACGTAAACAAGTAGGCAACCGAGTTGTCCGTGGGACGGGTCGGCGTATGTCTATATGACATCCAAGTTAATAGACACGTTGAAATAGGATAAGTATCTTGTTGTACTGTTACTGTTGTGCCAGGTTGTTGGAGATCACTGACATTCAAATTACCACACGATTTTGAAAAAATAATTTCCTAATTCGAGATGACAAATCAATTGTTAATTTATGCTTCGGGGTATATGAAAATTTGCCCGAGCCGCAGCCGAGGCGGATAATTGTCAGTTAATAATTATTTTTAATTACAAATTTAATTTAAAATGAAGTTGGTGTAACAGGTATAAACCACCAACGTTAACAGCGGGGAATTATTACCAGTAACGCAATGACTCGTCTCTTATCACTACATGATCACCATCAGTGACGCCTGATTTTATTTCCTCAGCAGTAAATATAATGCCCTGACAAATACCAAACATATGTCTATTACGATAAATCTGGCTCACACTACCAGTACTGAGGCAAAAAATATAGTTACTATAGAATTCATCGCATTGCCATATTTTAGTTAAAGTTATATTGTCGGCAAAACTTAGACGAAAGCTTTTTCAATTAAATATGAGTAACTGTGTAACAAAAATCAAATTCAAAAGTTGCGGTGTTTGCGAGTTTAGCTGATCTAAAAGTGACGCATTGCGCCGTTTATCGATGAAGATATTTATTTCTTTACTACAATAAATCCCGACATGCATTGCTGCTCAAATTCTCAAATTGGGGGCGCGCTAAGTCTAACCTAAAAGTACGTAATATAGGGGGTCCGAAGTTCGCTGTGGTAACATGAGTAAAAAAAAACGAGTGACCCAAAGACTATTTAAAAAAAAACTAAATATTGCTGTGTACTTCTACATGTTTCAATGGGAAAATGCTTCACAAATACTACGATAAAGACTTTCCGTTTCCGACATTGTGAAATTCTTTCGAATATTGATTTTGTAAAGCTCGTAGTCCATCTTCGTTGAAGAGAGAATCCAGTGAGCGATTCGGTGACTTGATGACACCCTAAGATGCTGAAAACTCGATCACAACCGAAGCTTGGCGATGTTCAGGTGATGTCCTGCGATTACCATAGCTGTTGTATTTATTACAGTGCAAAAAACTTTAAAGCCCAACTTTTCTTGGATATCTAGGCTGAC